CCACACCGAGTCAGAGCTGTTCTTAAAGTCACCACTGAGAGGTCGGGCAGAAGCAGGTTCCTGGAGCGGACAGACTTTGCCTTTCATCAAAACATGTCTCAAACTTTTAAAATTAAAAGTAAATAATTGCATTTCTCCCTCAGACGGTCAGCTCATCCATCTGAAAACACCCTGAGAGCCAAAATTTAACTATTTTTTTTCTGTCTCTCCCAGCCTGCAGCTGGCGACGAAGACAAAATGATTTTTCAGGATCACTGTTACAGATAAAGCATTTCTTTGGGGAAAACACTTAGATTAGTCTTTAACATGGTGGTGCCAAAAACACACAGCTGTTCCTGTTGTTTGAAAAATGAGAGAAAAACAGTCACTTCACATTTTAACACTGTATGGTTAAAAATAGTTCTGATCAATGTTCAAGTTCAAATAGTGGGATCAATACGACTTGAGTAATACCTTAAAAAATTAAAATTACGCTACTGGATGTTACTGAGTTTTTCTCTTTTATATAGTTAATCACAAAAGATTTAAACAGAGTTTGTGTCAGCTTGATTTGCTAGTTTATCTCTAAGAAAGCTTTTTTTGAAGASTTCAGTTCAAGAGAAATGATAAGGTCAAGAGGTCGTGTTGGAAGAGAGGTCCTTCAGGCTACATCAGCTTCCTAAATGAGGTGAGTGTATTCCCAGAAGAAAGATCATCTCAGTGAGTCTTTTCAGTTAACCTCCCGAGACCCGAGCTTTTTTTATGTGCTTTTTTTTTCTCCAAAATGCATGAGATTCGTAGGGAAGTGTTCTTTTTTTTTTCGCAAAAATCCTGAGTGCAAAACATGATAAAACTTCTTGACAACCTTTSAGTACAAATTATCATCATTATCATCAATGACAATTTTCACATTGCTTCTCAGTTTAAAGAACCAGTTACAGTACATGATGACAGGAATTCACAAAGCATTTGAGCAGAACCTTTGTATAATTAATTGGTTGAACAATGAACCACGTATTATAACTATTTACATTTGTGAACTCTTATATATATATATTCCAGTGTTTATCTAAACACATGGTCCAATCATTAATGAAATTTAATTCCAGTGTCCCCAAATGAGAACTTCATGTTTGCCAACATTGTACTTTAATTGCAAAAATATTTGACATTAGCATGCCTTCTGAAGCTAAAGATGTAACTGTGCATAAATACACTAYTTTCAAGCAAGAAACATGATTTMGAATTTTACCCTGAACCCCTGCAACTCTTGTGTTTTAGATAACTTGGGCCTGTGATTTCAAAATGTATGATCTCATATACAGTATGCACGTTTAAACATTGCTGAAAAGAYCGTGCAGGGTTTTAGTCTGCTCTTGTCACATTTTAGCTGTGTTTGTTGAATCGTGTTGCAATTCTTCTTAGARAAATTGTAATGCACCAGGTAAATACATACTCTTAGAAAAGTTTGATATTTAGGTATGTCAATAAATACACGTTAAATTTTTCAAATAAATGTTACTGTTGGAAAAATGGAGAACAAACGTAAGTTTTATTTTAACTGCTGAACTGATGTGGAACAGAAAAGATGCAGAGTAAATACAAAGAAAACAGGAATAGTTAAAGCATTACAATGGAGCTTTTTACTGGGAGCCTCTCCATCGTTTCACTGACAAGAGTGTAATGTTGTCATGTGACCACTAGATGGTGGTGGTAGTCCTCTGTGCAGGGTCTCAGGAGGGGGGTCACTGTAGGGAGCAGCTGGTGTTGAAACAGAGGATGATGGTGGCAGATCTGAGCWGGAAATAATTGGCCAGACAAAAGCCGAGTTTCAGCTAATGTCAACTCAAATCATAAACTCTGAGGACTCTAACTGCTGTGACGGTGACCTCACAGACCTTTAAAAATAACACAGTGTGGTGTAGAGCAGTTCAGAGAGTCCACTGGACTCCCTGGTTTCATGACACTCATATCAGCGTCAGTTTAGTGGAACCGACACAGTGAGGTGTCACATTACTAAATTTCAGGTTTGTACCCAAATGAGATTTTGTCTGAATTTTCCCCTCTGACACTTGGCTGTAATATTTAATGTGTCTGTTGTGACAGCATATACATTTATCTTACATATCATTCATGTTTTGTTTCAGAGAATCAACGGTTTGATTTAGTGGCCTGACAGAAATGAGCTTCTCTTAACTGTGCTTGTGGAATTCAGGAAGTCCTTTGGTTTGAGAGTTGCTGTAATTATAGACTGCTTAGAAGTTTTCATTGAACGACACTCAAGTTTTGAGACTTGGTCCACGTACAAGCACCACAACACAGTTACACAACTTTGTCCAAAGGTTGGTGTGGATAAGCAAGTGCCCCGGTACATGACGGAAAACTGTGGTCTGTTGGACGGTTTGGTGAAAGCAGATCTTGATCGTTCTGAATGTGTTTGGCTAACGTGTGCTGAAGTGAGAGGAAAAAGCAGTTTGTATTTGAAGTCGAGGCTACTTGATGTGTGTATCCATGTGGAGTGGGTAACTGTCTGGAATTGTACATATGTATAAGTACATCAACTCACAGGATACTTTACCTGTAGACTTCCTACAGAATGATGACAATGAAATCCTGTTRGTGAACCCATAGTGTGTGATGTGRGCTGCTCTTTTGTTGTATCATTCTACCAAACTGGATGAAACTGGAAGCTAAATGCACATTTAATAAATCACCATTTATGCCATATATGCTAAAGAAGTTTTGTGACCTCCATTTCATCACTGTGATGAATACTTTCTTTGTGAACCTGTTGTTTTTGATGTGACATGTGTATTCTGCACTCTAGTGGATAATAGTTGTAGTGCAGGCAGTGGGACTGCTGTAATAAACTCTGATGGTTTTAGAGATGTTACAGGAAGTTTAACAGCTAATTTTTTGTGTTTTTAAATAAATATCTTGTGTTAAAACCATGATTTCTTAAACCACAGTTAACTAGCCTAATGCTACTAATGTGAGTATCAAATGAGACTGAAGGTACATTCTGAACTATCATGTCTCTTTTTAACTAACGTAGTCAACATAATTCCTGCCTCCATACAACTAAACACTATTTAGATTATTGAAATAAACTAATTCAGGGGTTCTTAACCTTTTTGACCTCAGGGCCCAATTTGTTGAACATAAAGTGGCACGAGGCCCAGTCAGACATTACTAATGAATGGATCAAAATAATAATTATTCTAATCTAAATATTGGTTTTATTTTTATTGTATTTACATCATAACTAAACTATCATAACTAACTTAACTAAATTAAATACACTTACAGTTTAAAAGTAAAACTCATGTCAAATAATCACAAGACATGATTATGAGACAAACATTTTTATATTGTAACCTGCCCAAAACAATTATTTGAACAAATACAACGTTCAGTCAACAGACCACTCAGGCTAATCAGCACACACACACACACACACAC